TTACTTATAAATTGTAGTCCGTTACAGATTCCAAATTACATGACAAAAATTGTAGTCAGTAACATAATACATTACGTTGTACATTTTAGGTAATATAATTGGACTACGTATTTTAGATTACTTCTGACCTAACTCTAAAGAAAGAAAATCTATTCTATTCAGCATGAAGTGCATTGAACATTACATTATGTCAAGGTTTCCCAAACTGGAGTTTGTGAAGGAGTTACAGCAGGTGTTTTTTTTTTTAATGAAAAGCTAATAAATGAAATAAAAATTGTAAAATTAAAATAAATAATTGTATCATTAAAATAAACACTCACTAAAAAAGGTTAAATATTTTATGTGTTTACCTGCATGTAATGTGGCCATAAACTAATATCAGAGAACCATGAACATGATAAATGTGTTAATTAGTTATTCACTTGTTACCTTAAAATCTCAGGGGGTATTTTAATAAATATATTATTTGAATAAGGTTCAGCTGACAAAAAAATCCCTGCACTACATGTAAATAAGAAATAATGTGAATTTGTACATTTTAATGTAATTGTAATATGTAATCAAGTAATCAATAAAAAAGTAACTGTAGTCTGATTACAAGTATTTTAAAATGTAATATAATCTAATTACAAGTACTTAATTTTTTGAATATGATTATGTAATCCAGATTACATTAATCAGTTACTACCCAGCACTGCAAATGAGTAAAATTTCTGCTAAATTTTTGTGGTCAACAAGGTCCATTGTTCGTTGTCAATGGTGTCGTGAAAAAAAATATATATATTTGAGTGACCAATTTGAACCCAATGTGAAAACTGCATGGGGAAATTTTTTGCCCTCACTCGAAATTCCAGATCGTTTGGATTCCTTTTGAAATGACTGGATTTCGCTGAAAATCGGTAAACGAGATTGTACCTTTACAAGGAGATATAATATTAGGACTGACAGATAATTCCACTACCTGAGGTATTGAGTGATTGAACATCAGCACTTGTTTAAAGCCAGAGTTTGTACTCGAGATCTCTGCTTCAAAAGCCAAACCGCTCACACCGACCAGAAGTTCTGCAGTAACTTTAACTGAAGAGCTTGCGTGGCTCAACTGTAAGGGAACAACATGTAAGGCATTTTTACATAAAAAGGAATAAAATGCAAAACAAAATTTTTTTGAGATGCTAACTGAAAGCCAATTTGGGAAATGTGCATAATGTGCATAATGAGGTCATGTGACAACAATCTAGCATACTTAAATATGTATTCAATACTTCGGTGCTAAGTTCAGTTTTATTTCACATTAATTGTGCACTTGTGCACCCTCAAGTGAAATGAAAACTGTACTCAAAATTATTTCTTATGAAAAGTGTTTTTATATATGTTTGTGCGGGTGTGCGGGTCCCCCCCCACTCAGTGTCAGTGTTGTGAAGGTTACTTTGGAAATGTAATAGTTTACAAATTACAAGTTACCCAATTTAAAATGTAATAAGTAATGTAACTATTTCAATTACTTTATTAATGTAACTGGTTATATTTGATTACTTATCTAAAATTTCTAATGAATGTTTTCAACTGTTAATCATCTTCAAACAGGAAGGGTTAACCTTACAGTAGTACTCAACACTGATCATTGTCAAACTTGAATTAAGTTTGATTCTAAAAATTTAATTTTAAAGCACAGCCACCACAAAATCAGACTTTAGCACCTTTTTTTACTTTGAGATCGTTCTGAGGTTAAATACAGATTTAAAATCATAACAAGAAATAGTTCAATAGCTATGATACTGTTTTTTAAATCAAATCTTTGCATAGCTATGACAAACCCAGCAATTGGGTTGTTTTGACCCACCCAATTGCTGGGTTTGTCCCTATTTTACCCGGCACTGGGTTGTATTTAACCCAGCATTTTTTAGAGTGTGGCATCTAACGATGCTTTGGAAAGAACTGTTAAACTTTTAAACCCAAGTAGGAAATAAAAAAGTTATTGAATAAGCATGTGTCCTATTCGGTATCCTAAACTCCTGAAAAATTGGTGTATCATATTTTAGAGCAGTCAACGCAATTTGGGAAAGAAATCAATTAAATGTGTGTGTGCAATAAAAAAAAATGCTGGGTTAAAAAGGGAAAAACCCAGCTATTGGGTTGTTTTGACCCAGCGGTTGGGTTACTACCCAGAAGGCTGGGTTAAACATTTAACCCGACCGCTGGGTCAAAACAACCCAATTGCTGGGTTTGTCCCTGTTTTACCCAGCACTGGGTTGTATTTAACCCAGCATTTTTTAGAGCGTGTCATCTAACGATGCTTTGGAACCCAAGTAGGAAATAAAACAGTTATTGAATAAGCATGTGTCCTATTCGGTATCCTAAACTCCTGAAACATTGGTGTATCATATTTTAGAGCAGTCAATGCAATTTGGGAAAGAAATCAATTAAATGTGTGTGTGTGTGCACTAAAAAAAAATACTGGGTTAAAAAGGGACAAACCAAGCTATTGGGTTGTTTTGACCCAGCGGTTGGGTTGTTTTGAACCCAACCGCTGGGTCAAAACAACCCAATAGCT